GCTTGAGTTAGATCAGTGTCACATTGAAGTATGGATGGAACTCCAAGTGCCCCTCTGCAGATGTCTTGCAATGGAAATGTCAGATAAGTATGCTATGAAGGTGGCTTGTGTGTACATAGAACGAGCTGAGAGATGCCCAAGAAGGGAAAGCTTTGCTAATTTATAGCAAGCTAAGACAACACACAACTCATTTTGAAATCCTCCATGAGACTATGGCTTGTCCACATGCCCCTTCTGCCAGGGCAACAGTCTTGGAGATTATCTGATGGGTACGATTCTCTGCAGGTATAATGTCAAGGCATGCCTGACATTAAAATCTTTTCTCCCTGGAAGAAGCATGCAAGTTATGAAAGCATACAGGTAAGCATACTGATTGATGTGGAACTCTGACATAATCTTGGGGAAGAATTTGAGGTGTAGCCTACAGAAAATCTCCCTGTGAAAAACTGTATAAGGAGGGTCTGCCGTCATGACTCCAAGTTCTCACAGAAGTGATGGCTACTTCATCGTCAGGTGAGTGATGGCATACGTCACCTGCAGTTTAAAGGGCAAGCCTGTTAGTCTTGAAAGAACAAGGTTCAGATTCTACTGAGCAGAGGGATGGGAATAAAGGTATATCTGAGGTCATCTACCCAGGACAGTATCTCCCTGAAAGTCTCGGACTATGGGTCTCCTGGGGCAATAGAGGGGAAGCTTCCTATTCAACTAGGACATTAAAAGGTCCCATAATGGAGTTCCCCGCTGTGTAAATATGGCAGTTAGAACTGTTTTATGGGATGCAGAGAAGCTTCTGTTTGATAGGGGTGGGTAATAATATTTGATGGGGTGGCCACCCTAAGAATTTGGTAAGTGGTCAAGGGCCATACACTTCTACAATACTAATGTAGGAGATGCGGGGTATGAGCTAGAGATTGGATGCAGAAGGTAACTTGGAGTACTAGAGAGGGTGTGGAATCTGAGAGGGAGTTTGAGTGAAGGAGGAGGTTGTGACCTGGGATAGGGAACTGGGGTGCAAGATAAGGTATGGGTGGAACAGAGGATTCTGCCCTGGAGAAGTATATGAGGAGGTGCAGGGTTTGGGAGGGGGCTGTGACTGGGCTTAGGGGTGTAGGGATTTGGGAGGGGGAATAGGTGCAAAGAGTTTGCATTACATGGGGTAGATGTGCAGGAGGGGGCAGAAGATTGGAGGAAACAAGGAACTAGGATGCCAGAGGTAGGCGCTAGCTGGGAGGCACTTACCTATGTGGCCAGATCTCTGAGCCAGGCTCCCTACCTTTCACACAGGCTGCAAGGGCCATGTACTTTTCTTAACTCTGTGAGTCCCAGGGAAGGGAGTACTTTCTGCGTGGCCTGTCATGCAAACAGACAGCTCCCATTGGCTGGAAACCAGTTCTGGCAGTAGTCCTGACAGGTCTAGGTTAGCTGACATAGTCCGATGGTCTATTGACAAATGAGGCAGTATGATGATGAGTCCAGAACTGCATTTGTGGATAGGGCTAGGATTATCTTTGCACCCAAGTACCATAGTCACGGTCAGAGCCAGCAGATTCCTCTTCTTCCGTGCCTTACCCTCCAGCCTGAGGTTCTCTGTCAGAGATCGTTCTGTGCGTATCATATGTGATGTCTCACATGCGCCCTGGACCAGCTTGGAGAAGAAACACATTTATTTTTGACAGTCCACTGTGGGGCTCTGTCCTTATGCCCATTTGAGTACATCTTACTCTCATGGGGAGACCTATGGAGTCCTTGGAATTAGATAGCAAGGATTTTCTCTGAGGCTTATGCTTGGGGGTAGAAATTGCTGATCAGCTGAGGCTGATGTACATAGGTGGGTCTCCTGAGTCTGGGTCCAAGTGTGGCATCATAGCCTCTTCTGTTAGAAACTTTTTAGTCAGAGTTCATGGGCCTCGCTAGTTCCGGGTGGGAAGGATTTGCAGATACTGCACTTAGCAGAGAAATGTGCCTCCCCACAGAACAGGTATGATTGATGCGTGTCGCTGAAGGATAAAGGAGTGGGGTGGGGGAGGGGAAGAACAGTTCTCGAATATCAGGACTGAAAGGATTTCTCCTTTAAGTGAGGGACAAAGGGGAGGAATGTTATTCAATACTAAACTATATACTAACTAAAATTCTTAAGATATAAATTATTTCTAATTAAATTTTGTACAGGTTCTGCAACAGCTAAGGGGGACAAAATTCTGACTTCAGCCATGCAGTGGTAAGAAAGAACTGGAGACATGTCAACCCACACTGCCATTTATACTCTCTGGCTACATCTACACAAGGTTTTTGTGCAAAAATAGTCATTTTTGCGCCAAAACCTGTGGAGTGTCCACACCTCAAATGCGCTTTTCTGCAAGTTAATCAGCAATAAAATGGCAAAACAGAGGGCTTTTAGTGGTGTAGGTAAACCTCCTTTTACGAGGCATAACTCCTTTTTGTGCTACAGCTGTTGCACAAAATGGCAAGTGTGGACACTCTGCAGGGGTTTCTTGCGCAAATAGAGCCTATCCAAAAAAGCACACGTGCTCTGATGGCCATTCATAGAGCTTTCTTGTGCAAGAGCATCTATGCAGTGTGGACGCTCTCTTGCACAAAAGCGCATCACTTGAGGTGTGGATGCGCTTTTGCACACAAAGTTTTTGTGGAAGATCTCTTCCGCAAAAAGCTTCTTGTACAAAAACCCTGCAGTGTAGATGTAGTCTCAGTCAGGAACATGAGGAGAGCTGCTGCACATGTTCAGGTCAATGGACGCTGCTTTGAAGAAATTCTGGACCCAGGACCCTGGTGAATATGCATATGCCCTTGTGAAATACACATAGGAAGAACAAGAAGTTCAACTCTTACTACAAATGGAGGGAGACCGAGTGGCCCTGCTCCAGTTACAAGCATGAAAATATACATGGCACATACAGAACCCGAAAGGGATTGCTAACAAAAGTCTCCAACTCAAGTGCACTGGGAGCACATAAATGTAGAATGGAATATATGTGTGCAGACACACTCAAAGAAGAACTCTCGACCTACCTCACAGCTACATTTGATTTCAAATATTTTTTAGTTGCATTTGCAATTCACAGTCCAATTTTCACAGCTACTATGTAAAGTGTCTTCTGATATTTTTTCTCTAGCAGATCAGTTGTATACCACTGAAAATTTCAGTGGTTACAGTTACATGCGTGGCAGCAGTCAGCTCCCTGGGAGCTGGTACATATGTGGAACTGGCTTTTAAGCCAGCTCCCCACGTGTGCCAACTTCCAGGCGTGGCAGCAGTCAGCTCCCTGGGAGCTGGTACATAGGTGGAACTGGCTTTTAAGCTAGCTCCCCACGTGTGCCAACTTCCAACTGCCCCACTCACACTGCAGCCTCTGATACAGAGACAGCAGCATAGTGGGGACGGGTACAAGCAGCTCCTCCAGAGCTGGCACGTGCTGGGAGCCTCAATGTAACTGTGAACATTAAATGAGGAGTCCTGGCTCATCGATTAACTGTGTACACTTTCACATCCCTAACTGCTATCTCCCACAGGGCTATCAATGAAGTCATCACCTAGCAGCAATCTACCTTACAATGCTAAGGAATCCAATGTGGCTCATAATCTCTGAGATCAAGACAACACAATAGTGTCCACCTGCCAAAATGGTATGAAAAGTGATCCCCAACTTCAGCCTAAAAGTTATTTCAATTTTGTGTTATAACAGTGATTCTGATTCAAAATGCTCTTACTCCAGCTACGTTTCATAACATACTGGGAATGTGATTATGGCTGAGATCATAGCTAGAACATTTTGCCTCATTTGCATACAGAGAAGTCAATAGACCTTTTTTTCAAAACAAATCACATTCTGAGTGGAGAATGGTTATAAACTGCAGAAATTTAAAAGCTGCAGATGTTACATATAAAAATATTCATTTCCCCACTGAGAGCTTCAGGACAAACATCTGGTTTCTAAACAAAGTAATTACAAAAATATGTCACCCCACCCCCAACAGGTTCACTCTTTGCCACCAGTGGTTAGAATATTCTCAACTGATACTTTCCCAGAAAACTGATAGTCTAAATGAAAATGGGAATATAATTTTGTATTTCCCCAAATATATATGATTATATTGCTGTACAATTTTAAAAGACTCAAAAAAGCAACCTTGTAAACTTTAAAGTCACTCATCTGGTTCCCATTCACCTTCATTGCCAAAACTATGTAAGACCCAAAAAAGGATATGAAACAGACATGAAGTAGGAGCATTGGTTTTCTAATATCTAAATTCTAAGCCTTCATGCTAATTACTATAAATTCCTAAATTACTAATACAATATTTCCCCCAGAACAAACATTTATTGTAAAACCCCTCTTTTTAACAAGAAGCCATTGAAAATACACACTTTAATGAATTACCAGTCTGCAAATTATAAGTAATAGACTTCTAACCACAAGTAAATTGTGTATTTTTGTGTTTAGCCTGAATACCATTAGGAACAGTATTAAAACTATTATTACAGAAGAAATCTGAATCTGCTAATGCTGGCAACTTGCATTTCATGCTTAAAATTTGGACCTTTTCTAAATATCTAAGTTGTCATGCAACAGTTTACTGTTCATAAATTTGACTAATACAGAATAAACATGTTCGGATCTATCTTTGCCTTGATTTAAAAAAACAGCTGCTTTGCCTCAGCTAAAATATGAAGCAAAATGAAAAACCTATGACTTTTAGTAAATCAAATATTAATTTATGAAATAGATTTATCTATAAAGAGGTGAAATGACTGGGTATGTTAAAGCAATTCATATTGAATATGGCTACTTTTAGTAAGTAATATTCCCTGTTAGATGAACTAGACTGACTAACCACTTCTTAAAATTATTCTGAATACAACTCTCTGTTCCAGAATATTACCTCTCACCCAGGGGAAAGTATGCTGCCATAGTCTTCTTGACCCCATGGGAAGTGTTTTAAGGCTGGCAATCTCCAAGTAGTATAAATTTCTGCATCTTGGAAATAAGCCACAGCTTTATTCTCTTATTCAGACATGTGGAATTAATGCATAATTAACAATATCTATACTGAAGAAAAATCAAAGGAAAACTCCAACTCTGCTACAACGGTAGGTGTTCTTTTCTAAGAAAACATCTTCATCCACAGTTCACCTAAAACAATTTTAACTAATGTAATAGCTATATCAATTTCACTGGAAAAGTACAGTATAAACCTTTCAAGTTATCTTAGAATCTTATTACTTCTTGCTTCTTTTTTCAGTGAGTAGTACAAACAATTAAGTCCTTCAATTTAAAAAACAATTGTTCTCTTATTCATTTTCAAATCTAAAGTTTCCATAGACAAAAGATCACAAATTTCTTATTTTAAGTTAGCTTTGGAAAAATCATTACGTTCAAGTTCTAAAAAAGATTCTGTCTTTTTATTTTTAACCATTCAATCACATGCATGCCAAGTATTTCAAACACTATTAAACAAAATTTTCTGGCTATCACACAGAAATGAAAGAAATACGATATTTTGCAAAATGTAACTGACTGCAATGAAGTTAATATTGCGCTCATTATTTGGAAACTGGTCAGCTTTTATTTATTACTTCCTAAGAAATCTTTTACTGTTAAGTACAGATTTGTATAGGGCTAACATCTAATTAAAGAATACCAAGAGTTAAAAGTTGTTCCCTGTTTCTTATGAGTTAGAAATCCCTGCCAACAAGTCTTCTAGGCTTTAAATATTGTTTTGACAGATTGCATTTTTATTTCCAGTCACAAAGAACGTGTTCAATAGTCACTTCTCCAGCTCAGAAAAGGCCAGACACATTTTCTCTGCTAAAATGACGACTTTGGAGACCATCTTTTTTTTATTTTTCTTTGTGCCTTTGGTGAACTTAGTACCAACAATTAAACAGAAATCATCCAATTATTATGAGTACGATACAGACATTTTTGAAGAACTTCAAGATTATGAAGACAAATCCCAGGATGCAATAAAGAATAAGGTATTTTATTTATAGTATACATAAGTTATATAACCTTTAAAAAACCTGACAAGTGTTATGAATGAATTAGTTGTCATATGCATGTTATACATTTTATGAAAAAAAATCTTGTAATGTTAGGGAAAATGTGGATCACTTAAAAACTGAAGCAAAGCAAAAATAGAACCACAAAAGCATTCTTATCTACAGTATTCACTAGGGGTCTGAGAAACACAGAGAAGATGTGAAATCATAAAATCTGTGGCTGACACACCATTTTAAACTCCTTTAATTCTGGTATGCCCAGATATTTCAGAAGTCTCAAAAGGATAGATTATGTCCAACAGACAAGGTGAGCCAAAGATTAAAAATCAGTATGCAGTTAGTCTTAATTCAGATTTTGTGTTTGTTTTGATGTTATAGTAGTATTTGAAACACTTACATGTATGGTACATACTTTCATGAAATATGTTGTTATAAACCATAGCAGTTCTTCCAAGCTGGCACACAGTCAACTGTAATATAATACAGTGTTTGCCTTTTAATTTACAGTCTGCAAAACAGATGTCAACTGTAATATAATACAGTGTTTGCCTTTTAACTTACAGTCTGCAACAGACCTGAGCCACTGTATCCTACCAAGCAATATTAGAGTCATTGCAATATTAATATTCATTTATGTGGGACTGAGGGGGATAGGGAAGAAAAAATTCACTACATCACTCCTCAACACCCCTAATGACCAACTGAGAGTCAATGTTGCTGTCAATTCTGATATCCAGGATCTCGGGTAATTACACCAAGAGAAATACTGACAAAAAGAAGAAAGATTTAGTGCAAACTATCAACCTAGAATACAAATATCATAGCTATGTTCAAATAACTCAAGAACTGAGCTCAGAGGTGAGAGTTCTCTTTTGTATACACTATGCATAACTGAGTTCAGAAAATAAATAAAGAAGTTCATGGAACACAGGTCCATAAACGGCTATTAACTAATATGGCCAGGGACACAATCCCATTGCTTGGATGTCTCTAAACCTCTGACTGCCAAAACTGGACAACAGCAGTAGATCTCTTGATAAATTGCTCTGTTCTGTTCACTCCCTCTCAGGCAACTGACACTGAACAGCAGTAGATCTCTTGATAAATTGCTGTGTTCTGTTCACTCCCTTTCAGGCAACTGACACTAGCCCCTGTAGGAAGACAAGATACCAGGCTAGAAGGACCATTGTTCTTACCCACTATAGTCATTCTTATGTACAGCTGGCACAAGCAGGCTGAAGGAAAGCTAATTGTCTTAATTAATGCTTCATGCTAACTGTCAAAGGAAAACTTTAATAAACATATACACAGTGGCTATTTCCAAATATTAAGAGACTTTCGGGGGGGGGGGTCTTTTTCTTACTAAACGCAAGCATAAATTGCTGACTGAGAGGGGACATAATAGCAGTTTTCAAGTATCTAAAAGGGTGTTACAAGGAAAAGGGAGAAAAATTGTTCTCGTTAGCCTCTGATGATAGGACAAGAAGCAATGGGTTTAAATTGCAGCAAGGGATGGTTAAGTTGGACATTAAAAAAAATTGTCAGGGTGGTTAAACACTGGAATAAATTGCCTAGGAAGGTCATGGAATCCCCATCACTAGAGATATTTAAGAGCAGGTTGGATAGACATCTATCAGGGATGATCTAGATGATGCTTGGTCCTACTGTGAGGGCAGGGGACTGGACTTGATGACCTCTTGAAGTCCCTTCCAGTTGTAGTATTCTATGATTCTTTGCAAATTATTTTCTTACATAAACAGTAAAAGAGAGCAAGTCAGCTATATCAAGTTGTAGAGGGGGAGGTCTAAGGCGGATATTACAAGAAATTATTTCACTAGATGGGCGGTGAAGTACTGTAATGGGCTACCTAGGGAGGTGGTGGAATCTACATCCCTAGAAGTTTTTAAGTCCCATCTTGACAAAGCCCTGGCCTGGATGATTTGGTTGGGACTGGTCCTGCTTTTAGCAGGGGGTTGGACTCTATGACCTCCGGAGATCTCTTCCAACCCTATGATGCGATACCAACTTTAGATCACAGTGTCATATAAACTTAACCTTCCCTTATAGTTAAAAAGTTTTTCCTAATAGCGAACCTAAATCTCTCTTTCTGCAGATTAAGCCTATTACTATTTTTCCTACCTTCAGGGTACATGGACAATTGACCACCACTCTATATAATACACTTAATATATTTGAAAACTTATCAGATTCCCCCTCAGTCTTCTTTTCTAAAAGTTAAAGACGCCCATTTTTAAAGTTTTCCTCATAGGTCAAGTTTTCTAAATATTTTAGCATTCGTTGCTCTCATCTGAACATTATCCAATTTATCCACATCTTTCCCATCTGTGAAGTCAAGAACTGGCCACAGTGCTCCAGCTGAAGCCTTCCAAGTGCTGAGTAGAACAAAACAATTATCGCCCATGTCTTACATACATCACTCCTGTTAGTTCACCCCAGAATATTAGCCTTTTTCACAACTGCATAACATTGTTGACTTTCTACAATACTACTATCTAACCAGTTATTCTCCATTTGATTTTTCCTTCCTAAGAGAGGTACTTTGCACTTGTCTTTATTGAATTGTATCTTGTTCATTTCAGACCAATTCCCCAATTTGTCAAGATCATTTGGAATTCAGTTCTTTCGCATGCAACCAGTGTTTCCCTCTAAGATTTTTCCACTCATGAGAGGAGTGAGTTTTGTCTTATGCACCAGTACTGAGTTCATGTGGCTTGTTCGGATGTGTGCCACTGTGGCACCCAAGTTATTAATAAATGTCTTATAAATCTCTCCCCTTTCTCTCTGCTGCCATGTCTCCCACTCTCCCCTCGACCTCATAGACTTTAAGGTCAGAAGGAACCACTATGATCATCTAGACTGACCCCCTGCATAGTGCAGGCCACAGAATCTCACCCACCCCTCCTAGAATAATCCTCTCACCTATATCTCAGGTATTGAAGCCTTCAAATACTTTGAAGACCCCAAGATGCAGAGAATCCTCCAGCTGTGATCTGTACCCCATGCTACAGAGGAAGGCGAAAAACCTCCAGGGCCTTCTTGGTGCTTGCTGCTGTCCCCCACCCATCCTCCTCCTCTGCTGTCCTGGCTCCTGCACTTCTCACTCCCCTCAGCCCTTTGGGGACCTGATCCCCTCCCCATCTTCTTTGACCTCTGCACCTGTACTTCTCTTCCCCCGTGTCCACTCCTCCTCTAGCCCCACTCTGATCATCAGTAACTATCACTCCCCATCCCCTCTCCCCTCTGGTGCCCATCCCTCCCCTCCATGTGTCTGCCCTTCTGCTTCACCCCCACAATATCCCTGGCACCTGCACCTTCCTGGCGCCTTCTCCTTCTTTCACTGCCCGTGCCCTCCTTGTCCTCTTTCTTCGTGGTGCCTACCTCCTCACCATCCTCTGTCCCAATTCTCCTCATGCCCCTCCATGTCCCTCCCCTGCCTTTCTCATGATGCATCCCCTGCCTTCCTCATGCCCACTCCTCCTTTCAACCCCTCTTCTCCTGACACCCACTCTTCCCCTCTCCTCTTTCCCCCATTATCCCTCCCCTTTCCTCTCCCAGCATGACCCTATCCCCTCCCTTCTCCTCCCCCCTCCTGCCCTTTTCCTCATTGTCTCCTCTTGGGCCCCTGGCATTTGTCTCTTCTCCACCCTGCCCCATGGTGCCTATCCCTTTCTTCTCCCACCCTACCTCCTCCTCTCCCCTCAGTACAAGCCCCTTCCTCTCCTCACCCCCACCTTCCCATTAGTTCTCCACCTGCTCCTTCCCTAACTTTCTACCTTCGACCTGGAAAGCAGTTTGTCGGGGCTGGAGCTGGGATCACAGTGCTATTTTTAGTATTTCGGTCCCAGCCCAGAAGCTCCCAGGGTGGGGCTATGTGCTGGGACTGGAGCAGAGGCCACCCACAGTGCTATTTTTAGTGCCATGGTCCCAGCCCCCACACGACCTCAGTACTAAAAATAGCACCACGGGCAGCTCCGGCTCCAGCTGGAAGTAAAGCAGCAGCCACACAAGGCCCATTCCACTAAGGCTGCCCCGGCTGGAACAATCACACCTTGCATATCCCAGCTCCAGCTGGAGTAAAGTAGCAGCCACACAAGGCCTGTTCCAGCTGAAACAGCCTCACCTTATGCACACCATCTCCAGGTGGATCAAAAGGGCAGCTGCCCACTGTCACCACTCACCTTCCGTTCCAGCAAGAAGGTGAGCGGTGAGTGTTGCTGCGTAGTTCTTAAAATGACATAGGCAGACCTAAAATGTATAGTGCACAGGCGCACAGCTTAGAAGGAACACTGTGTGAAACCTTGGGGCTATAAACATACTTTTCACTTTTTCACTTTTATCCAAATCGTTAAGGGAAATGTTGAAAAGGATCACTCTCAATATCCACCTCTGTGGGATCCCACTACGTACACTCTCACACTTTGACAGCAAACCAGTGACAACTATTCTTTGAAAATGGTCATTCAACCAGTTGTGCATATATCTAAAAGTAATTTTATCTAGACCATATTTCTGTAGTTTACTTATGAATATGTCATGATGAATTGTCTCAAAAGCGTAACTAACATTAAGATACATCTCATTTACATCTTTCCCCCATTCACTAGGCCAGTAACCCTGTCAAAGACAACAATTAGATTGGTTAGGCATAATTTATTTATGACAGATCCCTAGTGACTATTTCTTAAAACCATATTATTCTCTAAGGGTATGTCTACACTACAGTGTCTACACATCTACATACAAAATGCATTTCGAAATAGCATTTTTCTATTTCAAAATAGCACGTCCACACTGAGTGGACACTGAATCACATTTAAGGCCATCCGGAACCAGGTCTGGCAGGACATCAGGCTAGGAGTTACTTTGTGTGGCTTCTGCCTGAGGCTATCTGAGGCCTGTGCTTAAAGGGACCCTCCCCCCCCGATACAGCCAGTTCTCAGCTTTCCCTGCTTTCT